CTGTCACCTAATTATGTGTGTGTTAGTTGTGTCGTACTGCTAACCGTATTTTGGCCTCCCGCGCCCTTCCCCCGCCTTGTCCCTTTTCCTTCAGGTGCACTGCTGGGTGCAATTCCTCCGCACCCAGCTGCACCCAGCCGGGCGCCGCCGCTGCTGGCCAGTTGGCTAGCGGCGGCGGCAACGTTGGCGGCGGCATATAGACGCATCATCATCATGATCATCATCACCATCATCGTCATCATCATCATCATCATCAGTTGCCGCCATTCCAATCAACTGCTGTAAAGGCCATCGGCATCATGATCATCATGATCATCATCGTCATCGTCATCATTATAATCATGGTCATCATCATCAGTTGCCGCCATTCTTGCTGGCTTGATAACTTGTTGGCTGCATGCAGCGCCAACTACGAGCAATGACCGAACGAATGGTGTCGTACAATAAACGGCCATACCGACCATATAACGGTTAATAATATAATATCAATAAATGGCGAATACAGCAGATCTGTAAACGATCGAGTGATCAACGTTAATAATGACCAACGGTTTCGGTTGGACCGTCAAATGGAATCAATGCAGCACGAGGACTTGCGCAGCTGAACTTCCCAGTAATGGGCCCATGCAAAATGATCCGGGAGGTACCTGGGCGGATGTTGTCGGGGCCTGGGGTGGCCGGGCGCAACTAGGTTTGGGGTTTTGCCTAGCACAATGCGATTGGGGGGCATGGCCCGGCATGATGCGGTTCGGGGACATGGCCTGGCGTGATGCGATTTGGGGGACATGGCCTGGCATGATGTGATTGGGGGGGCATGGCCTGGCATGATGTGATTGGGGGGCCATGGCCTGGCATGATGTGATTTGGGGGGCATGGCCTGGCATGATGTGATTTGGGGGACATGGCCTGGCATGATGCGATTTGGGGGGCATGGCCTGGCATGATGTGATTGGGGGGCATGGCCTGGCATCATGCGATTTGGGGGGCATGGCCTGGCATCATGCTGGCATGATATGGTTTAGGTTGAATTATTTCCTTAGTTAACCGTGCGGAGAGAAAGGATTTTGCACTCTGTGGTATGCATGTGTTGTGATGCGCTTCCTGTGTTTGTTCTATTGTGCGTTCTGTAGTATGCATGTGTGTTGAGTAGTGTGCAAGTGTGTGTATGAGGTGTATGTATGTTTGTGTGCACATTTTTGCGTCAAACATGTATCCGTTCATTTTTGCTTGAGGCGGCTTTGCAACTGTATTGTTCCCGTCGAATCTTCACCGTCACCACCTTCTTCTTGCCGTCGACGTTTTGCCGTCACCATCACCTTCTCCACGTCGAATCTTCACCGTCACCACCTTCTTCTTGCCGTCGACGTTTTGCCGTCACCATCACCTTCTCCACGTCGAATCTTCACCGTCACCACCTTCTTCTTGCCGTCGACGTTTTGCCGTCACCATCACCTTCTCCACGTCGAATCTTCACCGTCACCACCTTCTTCTTGCCGTCGACGTTTTTCCGTCGCCATCACCTTCTGCACGTCGAATCTTCACCGTCACCACCTTCTTCTTGCCGTCGACGTTTTGCCGTCGCCATCACCTTCATCGCGTCGAATCTTCACCGTAACCACCTTCTTCTTGCCGTCGACGTTTTGCCGTCACCATCACCTTCTCCACGTCGAATCTTCACCGTCACCACCTTCTTCTTACCGCCGACGTTTTGCCGTCACCATCACCTTCATCCACGTCGAATCTTCACCGTAACCACCTTCTTCTTGCCGTCGACGTTTTGCCGTCACCATCACCTTCTCCACGTCGAATCTTCACCGTCACCACCTTCTTCTTGCCGCCGACGTTTTGCCGTTGCCATCACCTTCTCCACGTCGAATCTTCACCGTCACCACCTTCTTCTTGCCGTCGACGTTTTGCCGTCGCCATCACCTTCATCGCGTCGAATCTTCACCGTCACCACCTTCTTCTTGCCGTCGACGTTTTGCCGTCGCCATCACCTTCATCGCGTCGAATCTTCACCGTCACCACCTTCTTGCCGCCGACGTTTTGCCGTTGCCATCACCTTCTCCACGTCGAATCTTCACCCTCACCACCTTCTTCTTGCCGTCGACGTTTTGCCGTCACCATCACCTTCATCCCGTCGAATC